AACTGTTTTTTCTGATGGACGTCTTCCATCTTTTTGGAATATCGGTCTTTGAACTGTTTATGCATGCGCTGTCGTTGCTGATTTTTACGATTCTGTTGACTGCGAAGCTGGAAGCATATTCGAAGCTGTCTTGGTGGCTGGTGTTCAGCCCGCTGTTCGTCGCCTGCTTCTTCAATGCTTACTTTTCGCTGATAGTTTTTCTGAGGCAGTATTTCGAAGAACGGAGCCTGAAGCCCGCCGCCACCCGCTCCTTGTGGGTCGGTGTCCTGATTCTGTTGCTGGTAACCTTCGAAGTGCTTGTCTGTGCCTCCCTGAACGACCGCGACGGCTCTTATTCCTACGGTGCCGTCTTTTGCCCCGTTTATATCATCATGGGACTTCTGCTGTTGAAAGCCTGTGTCATGCATTAGTAGTAGTAACGAATTTACTTGAATGTGTTAATAAACACGGAAGTTTCACCAGCGATCATTAGTGTAAACAGTACGATTCCAAGACTTGAGGTTATAATTTCTTTCGTTTCCTGAAATCGATTGTATTCCATGTTATCGACCGGTGCAAATGCGCTCTCTATTCTGGCCGATTTTGCGGTGACTGATAAAAAGAAATTAGAGGCTGCCTGAATACTTCAGTCTTATACCAGAAGATCGTAAGCCTGCTGCGGATTTCTTGACTGTTTGATATACAAGTCGTCACAGTATCGTTGTGAAGAGGATGTTTGCTATCGTCGAGGATGTTGTCACCGAGTTATGACTAAATTGGAAAGCTGCTTTATGTGGGCCTGTATGTCAGATCCAGAAACGATGGCTAACAATTTTGGTAAACGCCTGATACAGCCATGGGGCGGCCTCTCAGACCTTCATAATAATCGGCTTTTGCGTAGAGAAGCAGCGGTGTTATGCAGCCTTGTCCGAAGATCTGCAGCCCCTCTTACCTGACTCCAAAATGTTTCCTCCGTTTGAGAAACGAAAGTGCCCTTATAAATTTGGCAGCCAGGGACGAAAAATGTTAAATCCAGTGCGAACTATCCGTCAGTTTTTATGCCTATATACTTCACTTTTGGACCGGCTATGAAAGGCGTCACATTTCCAGCCGGTGACCCGTCGATTGCTCACCAGTTTCTGGGGTGTACATTTCTTCCTTGCAGAAGTAAATGTAATGTCGACCGACTTTTCTTAGTCTTAGTCCTCTCTTGGCAGACCA